CAAAAATATTCTTACACAACATGGCCAATAGGCTTACACTTTCCAAGGATGTTATAATGTATAATCTTGTAAAAAAAAAATTAAGGGAGGAAAAAGAATATTATCACAAATATACATATATTGTTGAATTTGGAATATTCATGAGCATTGATCATCAAGAAATATTTCAAATCAAGTATTGCTTTACATAAATAATTGGCTTGTCATAATATGTATAATTGCTAGAGGGCTATATTAGAAATAAAAAAGTAAATAGTGAACACCAAATTTCTCTTTCGTACATGGCAAATGTGAGAGTGTATCTCTCTTTACCGCTCTATATGCTTTCATACAAATGATTAGATGAAAGAATATTGAGCTTTGCCTAAAATTACGCAGCCTGCATTTTGTGCATTAAGAGGTTTAGCTAAAATATAAAATAACATCAACACAACTTTTCAGATGATGTCTATGGTCATGGACATGGGGATGATGGTTTTCATGTGGTTCATAGCCCATGGTGTAAATGACAAGCTAATGAATGCGTCCTTCGTGTTCATTGAAGAGAGACTTACTTATCTTTAGGTAGAGAAAGAAACTCAAATTTTGAAAAAGAGAGACTTTCGTTTTGAAATAAGACCACACACTGATTTGCATTGGTTTCATTCTATTAAGATAAAATAGAATGTGAACAAATTTCTAATTTAAGGCAATAAAAAATTTACCATAAAATCTTTGTAATTAAACCTTCCAAATACTTTTCATATTCAAAGTGAATTGATTTCATGCTATTTAAATAACATAGAATGTGAACAAATTTCTAACTTCAGGCAACAAAGAACTTATCATAAAAACTTTGAAATTGAAACCTTCTAAATACTTTTCAAATTCAAAGTGCATTGATTTCTTGCTATTTAGATAAGATAGAATGTGAACAAGAATTCTAATTTAAGGCAATAAAGAACTTACTAACAAAAAAGAATTTTCTAATTGGAGATTACCAATTATTTTGAAACACTACCTAATATTAGCCGTGGTCCTTAAAGGAAACTCAAGGGAGTTCCTTTTATTTACTTTAAGGAAATACTACGGACATCTCCCATCCTCTAGACAAAACTCCAAAAAAAATCATGTTACATTGGGAGGCAAAATAGCCATTTTAAGTTCAGTTTCTGTCTAGCGTCCTCATGCTACTTCTTTTTATGGAGAATGAAGTCCGCTGCAACAACACCCAACCGTGTGACCTTTCAAGCCAACACTGCAACTCTCTAACAAGCCTCGAACTTGGTGGCTCATTGAGTTTCAATGAAACCCTAAGCGCTAGTAAAGATTTTGGGGATTTTAGAGAGAGATAACTAGGTCTAGTAGTGAAACCAGGTACTGTTCAGGACATAGTGAATGTCATAAAAGGGGCTTTTAGGTTCTATTTCAGGGTTAACAGTGGCTGCAAGGGGCAATTGTCACTGCACCAATGGTCAGGCTCAAGCTCATAGAGGGCTCAAAGGAAACTTCAACTTCTGCAAAACTCCATTAAGGGTTGGCATCAATCTCACCAACCCCAGGAACATTCTTTCTATCTCTCTCAAAGCCTCAGTCCTCAATCAAATGTAAGACCTTGACCTTGCAGAAAAATCTAGAACTCCATCCATAGTTGAGGTAAATGGGAGAAGGGAAGACAACGCTAAGTCCCTTATTCTACAATAAAAAGAAGATATCGTTTGGGATCAAAAGTCAAAAAGGCTTCTGGTTGGCGACAAAAAAAATTGAATGTTTCACAAAATAGCAACCTGTGGCTGCTGTGTTAATATTATCATGCACATCTCTGTGGGGCAAAATGCCTTTCAAGAACCAAACTCAGTTGCCTCTATCTCTTTCTTTCAAGAACTTTTCTAACCTCACTCTGATACCCTTACTAGTCCCAATAAAAAAAATTAATAAATAAATAAATAAAATAAATAAACAACTTACTCGGATCTATCTTTAAATAACACGAAAGACTTAAAGTTCCATACCAAAACCTATAGACCAAGTCATCAGATGACAGGCTACCTTGAAAGTCCTCTTGGTTAATCTCCTTCACCTTCCATCGTTATTTTTTATCCTTTTCTCTATCTTTTCTAGAGGAGTTAACCTCCTCTTTTTATAGAGAACACATTTATTTTGTACTCTCACATTCATGGTCTATAAGAGTTGAGATCCAAGTGTGACTCCTACCTTAATTCCCTTAAGTGCATCTAATTAGGATTAAATCTGTCATTAGTCCACTAATGACTCACATAATCGGATATCATCCAAGCATTCCCACAATTTGATAAAAGATATTTATAATTGAATAACTTTGTATATCTTTAATATAAAAACAAATTCTTACAAGGAATCCAATTCCAAACACACCAATGGGTTTTCCCTCCAGTGACACTGGGATTTCCCTCCAGTGAGGCATCCTATTAAAGCTCAAAAAATAGATCCAAGTATATGGCATTGCCTCATGTTAACCACATGGGATTTCCCATATACTTCAATATGGCTTTTGTACCATTATTGAAAAAATAAAAAATAAACATTTCCGAGAGAAAAGGGCCTGATAGGCCACATTTCCAACATTACTTTCGTACATAATGCAAAGTTAGAGCGCCTTGCTTTGATGCAAAAAAGTGGAAGATATTGATGCTAACACAGATCTGATGTATGATAAGTTTTATGTAGGAAAACTTATTTCTCAATTACACCCCTACTAAATGTCATACTAAAATCTATAGCAATTTATTCATGCATATGCCCTTTTGTTCTTGTTTCTAGTTGGAAAGTTCCTATTTCTTCTCTATTTCTTATGTGCTCCCACCTCTATAGAACGTTTTCTACTAAGCGTCATGCAATAAGTTTAGTATGTCAAGAGCATTTCTTATTTTATATCTAGACCTGTCTTAACCCAAGTGCATTGCTAACTTTAATTTATATACTACAGAGTCTATAGACTTTCTGAGCTTCACCGACAGTACAGAGTAGCACCCCACAGTATAATATGCGATATTTGTTGCAAAAAGCTTATTGAAGTCCTGTCGGGAGCTTAGAGAGCATATACAATGCTATTAATGAAGTATCATATGTTGGGCTTTTCTTTTGTCATGTCCTTGCCCTGGATGTACATCTCTTGGGATGTTATAAAAGTTTTGAGGGAAAGAACTCTATAATATGGTGCACCATGAAAATGTATAGTCAATTGGCATCATCACCGTGAAAAGGATTGACGGTGATCGATAGAAAGTAGGACTCACCACTAGGGTCATGTGCTGTTCTGGTGTCTCGAGCTCTCCTTCCAAATTGTCCTTCGTTTTATCACGCACTGATGACCCAATGGACTATGTTTTTCCATAATCTATTTGGGATATAGTGTAATTTCCCCTTTCTAAATTGGAAGATCAATTTTGTTCACTCTTGTCAACCATATGAATCATCAGAATTGAAGTATCTAAGTTGTATCGTGTTAAGGAAATGACAAAGAAGAAGGGGATCCAAAATTAGTTGCTTTGGATTATGTATTGATGAGTCCATCACATGGAATGCACATCATTGTTTTGGAATATGTAAGGAAATGGAGAAGCGAAGTTGATTACTTGCTGGTTTACATGAGCAGGGGAAACCATTTCTAAAATGGAAGTTCAGTTTTGTGCTCGTAGACATACAAAGTATGGCATAGCCGCTTTTTCTAAACTATAAAGATGATACCAACCGGGATCTTATTTCTTTAAAGTGCAAGGAAATGAAATATGCATTATCAAAAGAATAAGAGGAAAAATATAGTGTACTGTTTTTTCTATCCACGCAAAGGACATCACTGTGATTTGGCTGCTCCGGGATAAGTTAGGAAATGGAGATCTCTTGATCATGAGGCTAGGAGCTGTTAGTTGATTTATTTTTCCAACACATTTTGTTGATCATGTGTGTGTCGTGATTCAAGCTGTAAAGAAATGAAAAAGTGGATTGTATTAAAAGGACGTTAAAGAAAAGTATGCATCTTGAAGAACAATGAGGAAGAACTCTTTGTAATCCGTAATTAATGAAACAGAAAAGTATATCAGTCCAATGTAGTATGGTCCTGGTACTTCACAGGCTATCCACTGTCAACTCCTGACAACAGACAATGGAGTTGCTTTTTGAGGTGCATCTGTATTTCTACATTTTAAGGTTGCAACCTTATATAAACTTTTTCCATTATTATAAGCGTATTAATATAATGTCACTTCATCAAAAATAATTCTTGAATGCGATCCTACATTTGTTATACAATGAATACAAGAGAAAAAAACATATTCCTATGTAAACAAAATTACACAAGTCACGTCTATTTAACATAGGTATGTGATTAAAAATATTCAAAATGCAATAGGTTCATCATGCTTTATTCAAAAAAATAGGTTCATCATGCTCCATCAAATTATAATATGCAACACATATATTTATGTAGACCTAGTTTTGGCATAAGTACATGTATGCTAAGGGTTAGATGCAACAACAGCAATAGATACAAAGACATGCATATCAGGTATATGCTACATGCACATGTAGTTGTTAGCATAAATAAGCAACCATTGAAATCATATGCTTATTAGAAAATCCATGAAATATATATCAGGGAAAAAAAATTAAAAAGAAGCCCTCTCACAAATATTAGTTAGAATTGTAAGAGAAGTAAAAAAGGTAAAGCTAGATAAATGGGACCCAGGAATATGGCTTTCTTTCTGAATGGTTTCAGAAGTGTTATAATACATAGGTATGAAGAAATGAGTGGAGATGACCCATAGAAAGAAAAATTATACAGAAAACACCAGGTTTATGGAACAGAGAACCAAAAATGAATGTAAAATCAATAAATGACTAAAAAAATAAAGCAATGAGAATGGGCACAACAACGCCAAGAAAGGGGTACCAAGAAATCATGGACGTTCCATGGTACCATCAAATAGCATAACGAGATGGATGCATGCACAAATGCATAACTCTGCTTTGGTAAGGCATCTTACTGAGAAAATCATGGAAGCCGGTAGGGACCATCAAAAGCACTTAATCATGCATGCTTGCTGATATACATATACATACATGACTGCCGAATGGTAGAGAATCTCGTCTCAATCACCCATGGTTTTATGGAACATTGAAGTTCCAAGCAGATTGGGTTCAGTCTTGTCTGGAGACTTCAACACCCGAATTTCAAGCAAACAAGGCACGTATAATTGGGGTTTTGAATGGAAATTTATATAGTTATAACTGATATCTGGTCCGTCATATTTCTTCACTTTCCTCTATAGCTTCTGAAATGGTGGTTGCTTTTGCTGTACGAGGAATATCACAAGGGTCATTCTCTTGGGTTGGGAGTAGCCTTCCCAAGAGTAGGCTGTTTATAATCCAGCTTGAAGGCTGCAAATTTGACAGGCATGGTTTGTTAAGTTAATTCAGTTTGATACTTCAAGCATGGTAAAAGATTTCAAAATGATTTTTGGTCATGGAGAAAATGCTACTAGGGATTTTGGACCGAAATTATAGCATATTAATTGGTTTTCTCTAAATACCTTTGGAATATGTAAAACTAAACATTAATATATGGGTGTGGTTTGTATAGAGCCTAGGCTCTAAACAATCAAATTAGAGCCTACCTTCAAATAGAGTCGAGAAATGCGGTTTCAATATTGGAAATCTTTGTGATAGCCTTAAAATATATTTTCATATTTGTTTATAAAGTTTAATGCTCCAAAAATAGTGTAGATAGACAGATCTATGAAAACTTTAAAATCTTAAAAATTGACGGTCCAAAAATACATTACAAAATACGCTATTTCCAAAACTTGAAATCCATTTTCTTCTCACGTCCATGCTTCTCGATGTCGAGATGATCAATTTTAAGATATTTGGGCATCAAGACAACCACTTTTAGTGAAATTTTTGAGGTAGGCTCAAATTTGATTGTTTAGAGCCTCAAGCTCTATATCAACTTTTCCCTAAATATATATATATATATAAAGATAACTGATATTTTGAATTCCAGAGGAATAACATTTTAAAACAAAACCTGCACCTGTGCTTCTCCTTTAAATGATGAGAAACCCTTGACAAAATGAAAGGAAAAAGACCCCAATGGCTACAATTTCTTTATCTTCCACATTCAAGTTTTCTTTTCTTTTTTTCATATATTCAATTCTCCTTTTCAAGATTATCTACGCAATTATTCTGTTCAAGATTATCTCTTAACACCACTACAGCTTTTTATCAAACAGCTTTTGGCACATTTTTCTACGTGTACTATTAAGTTACCATCACTGGCAGCTTGTGTTCAGATGCACAATGCCTAAGGTGCCGTGTTGCTCTTCCTGCATCTTCAATGATGATAATGCCCATGGTGTTATTCCTGTTCCTTAAGCTTTCGACTAGCCATTTCATGGTTTTGAAAACCTGACCACCTCCATGCTGGAGATAGGAAACAAGTGAGAAGATAGTAGCTAAAACAGTGAGATAAGAATGAAATGCAATTACAGATAGTTTCAGTGTTACAAATGAATGCAAGTATGCAACCATGCATAGTTCGCAGACCCGATTGGGTCATTCAAGACCCAGTCGGGTCAACCCAAACTGGAACAAAATCAGGTAATACTGGATCAAGACAACGGTTTATTGAACTACTGGTTTCCTCAAGGCTATATTGTTAGAATTCATGGGAGAATAGAATGGATAATGGAGCGAAGAAGAGAGAACACTATGGATCTGATACATGTTAGAATTGATGGGAGCATAGAATGGATAATGGAGAGAAGAGAGAACACTAGCTCTGATACCATGTTAGAATTCATGGGAGCATAGAATGGATAATGGAGAGAAGAAAAGAGAACACAATATTTACGTGGTTCAGGCCTAAGCCTTACATCCACGGATCCAAAGCCCCAACCGGTTACATCTTCACTATTTTGGATGAATGTTTACATCAAGAAGTACCTCTATATATAGAAGACAATCACACAATTACATGAGATAAATATGGCATGATAACTTGATGGCCAAGTAACTCGGTCTCTATCTTCTAGATACCCAACCTTATCAAGAGATATATACATATACATCCATAATGATGTATATGTATCCAAGATATCCATATCCCAACATATATAGGGTAAGGTTTTCTCTGTTCATGATCCAATCTAGTCAGCAGGGTGGGGTAATGGGTCAAACCAACCTGGGGCCTTTGTTGAATTGGGTCAAATTTTTATTCCACAAAATGTGCCATACTCCAATGATGGTATAGGGTACTCTCTCAAAAGGGTAAACAGCACTCAATTACTGATGGTGGACATCAGAGACTAATCATAGTGGGCCGCACCAACCATTCACTGGGTACAACAATTCTCCGCTATCTGTGATGAGAACTGCATGGTGGATGCCCCTTTGAGGGTCACACCCACAAAAAGTTTCAGATTTCTAAATCTTAGTCCACAAAATGGGCTACCTATAACATAAATTACTCTGTTAACTGTAACCTTTACGATGTTGCTATGTTAGTGCAGATAGAATAGGAGACAATACATTCTACAGTCAACAGGAAAGACACAAAACAACAAATTTATAAAAGCATATTACCTTTATAACTGTTGCCATTTTGGTACAGAAAGAAAGCTTCCCATAGAGCATGATCCCTAACCTTTCAAAAATGTACATGTGATTAGAACGGGGATTTGACTGACCACGTTCCATCTGCTTTTTTTCAGAAGAATGACTTGAGATAACTTTATATCTGCCAATGACATACAGGCCAGTGAATCATGATAAGAACGCATGAGATGTGCAACTGAGAATAAGTGCGGTAGTTTTTTATTTTCCATACAGAAAATTCCGACTTTTCTTTATAACATAAAGGCTACAAAGATGAGGGGTGGTAATGTATGATTTATAAGCAACTAATAACTATGAAAAATATTAAAAATATAAAATTAATTATTATGGAAACTCTTGTGATTCAAAGGTCTTTTCATTTTTTGTCCCTTCCATCTGCGTGAGGAACTTATAAATAGAACTATGGTTCCAGGACCTACCTTTCAGGCGGTAATACAAAACCAGCCGCAATGGAATCAGTGAGCCAGGATGGTTTCAGCAGGGCAGTATTTATAGCACAACCATACAAGAACTTACTTGTTTGCACCTGCGCAAAAGAAAAGGAAAGAAATTCACTGACCAATCAGAACTTCTGTGCCTACTTTCTTCTGTCCTTTTGGACAGGAAACTCTAACATAATACAATTTCTAGTAAAGCAATTTACTTCAATGCATGATATACTCACTTATGAAGAATGAAATGATTTATTTACCTTAAGAAGATATTACTATGTGAAAAAATTAAGACAAGCCCAGAGGAGAAGTCCTTGCCTTCATAAAATATGGGGCCTCAACTTTGAAGCTCTTGAGGGTATCTATTAACACTATGTTACTATTTATTATTTAAAAATGGGAAAAGTTTATATAGAGCCTAGGATCTAAACAATCAAATTAGAGCCTACCTCAAAATTTTCACAAGAAGATGTTGTTTTGATGCCCACATATCATCAAATTGATCATCTCGACATCAAGATGCATGGACATGAGAAAAAAATGGATTTCAAGTCTTGGAAATAGTGCATCTTGTAATGCATTTTTGGATCGTCAATTTTCAAGATATTCAAGTTTTTATAGATCTGCTCAATATACACTATTTTTGAAGCTTTAAATTTTATAATTGAAGACAAAAATATATTTTAAGGCTATCTCAAAAATTTTCAGTATGGAAACCTTATTTCTTGACACTATTTGAAGGTGGGCTCTAATTTTATTGTTTAGAGCCTCGGCTCTATACAAACCGCCATGTCATTACTCAGTCCCATCAAAAGAAGAGAAGTTTGTTAAAGATGATCAAAGAACAAGATATAACAGTCCCCTGATTTCCCAGTTTATATAGCATTCAGCAGGAAAGAAGACATGGAATGAATACAAAGTACCTAAAGGAATCAAACCTTTTCTGGGGAAAGGATAATAGGTAGTTTTTGGTTCTTGTACCATGTCACCCTCTTGCCGCGTATATTTATAGAAGGTGCTGGAATATGACAGAGGACAACTCCTCCATTTTTCCTGATTAGCATTTCAAATTCTCTCCTCTTCTTACTTGAAAATCCTGTCAACATGAACTCAAGGCCTTGAAATATCAGTCCCTTTTGAGACCTGCAATTTGCGGTAGGATAGCATTTTCCATTTTCAGATCCTTGCTTGGATGAGATGATAGATGCCGATGCCTTTCCCCTTCTACTGGATTTCCTATTCTGCTTTTTGGGTAGTTCAGCAGTACGGTTCGAACTGGTTGTCCTACTCAAACCTGCACAATTTTCAACAATATTATCCTTTCATCATTGTCTTTTTAAACTGAGGCAAATTGAAGGCATATTGGCGTGGAAACACAATTATCTACTACAAAGGTTCAGCTAAAATTGAAATACCAATTTACATTTTAGAACTTGGGAGGTTGACTTTTGGCAAGTAGAATATTGGTGAAGTCTGATGTCTGCCTCAGAGAAACGAACTCTCTTTCTCTTCAAATTCTTGCCTTCATCTTGATGGGAATGAAAGGCTACACATGAAGCATATTCTTCACAGCCCCCATTATTCACCTCCTTGTCATTTGAAGATATGAATTTCCTCATATATGATATTGAAGCCTTTTGCTGGCTATCTTCTTCAGATTCCTTACTTTCAATAGTTCTATACACCCTTCTTCGTTTCCCAAAATTCAAAATTGAAGGTGATTGATCTCCCTCAAGGGGGTCAGACTGAACTTTGATTCCATCATTTGCAGTTCTATCACAATTTAGGGTATCAGCTTCTGACTCCAGGAACTCGTTATTAGTGGTAGAGTTTAGTTGATTTCGTTCAGTTTGTTTACCAAATTGAAAGTTTGAAGTTCGGCAATTGCCCACGTCCATGCACATGGAAGAGAGCTTTGAATTAAGAATGCCTATGGAATACAAACTATTATGATGCTTTGAAGACCTAGAATGATCACAATTTGAATAAGACGAAAAGATATTGTTTTCTGTTGTGTTAATTAGAGAAGACCTACTACCCACAGAAACATCAACTCCTTGTGCCTCCCAACAAACTGTTCCATTAGGAGCTCTCGTGCTATAATTCTTCAAAGAGAACATTTCTGTGCGCTTCATGTGCCCAGAATCTTCAGGCTCCAGTTGTACATGCTGGACAGGATGGGTAGAAGCCATGGGGCTCGTTGCCACTTCAGAACTTGGCAACATCGTACTTGGATCCAGGCTCTCAATCTCCACAAGTTCCTCATTATTCAAATTGGAATCTTTCCCATATTCCTCTCTATTATTTTGCTGATTGGGAGACAAACCTAAATGGGCATTCTCTACATCAATGCTGCATGCTACAAAAGAGCAAAGTGGGTCAATCTGGTAACTGTTAGACAATCTCACTAGGGTTGTTTGAGAGAATGTGATCTCATTGTCAATATTGCTACATAAATCTCCATGCTGCAAGCCTGAGGTACCAATATCAAGCCTGGTCTCCTGTTTGTGCACAGAGGAGCACTCATCTACAACTTCAACCGACTCCGAAAAGAAGCTAGTCTCTCCAACAAACAGATTTGGCATGCCATTGTTTCTCTTGCAGGTGCTATCTGCATTCATTCCGGCTTCCTTTAAGGAAAAACAAAGGCAAGCATCACATGATTCAGAAAGATGAACTATGATCCAGTGTTTAACAAAATATAATATAGAATTCGCTCCAAATCCAGAAGTTGGTTTCAGCCTTTGGCCAACCCTCATTAAAACCACAATTCCAAACCTATCTTAAAGTATACTACAATCTAACAGACTATGGAAAAAGACAACCAATTGGGTAATCATTTTCCTTTAAAATCGATGGTGATAGAGAGCAAGACACATGAAAACTGGATATGACACCGATGGTGCATCCCACTCTCTCTAGTCCGTACCCATCATCCTATTTCGTTACAATAAATGGCATGAGCCAATACACTATGGTTTTCCCATAGTCCCCCAAATTATAGTGTGCTTTCCCCTTTCTCAAGTCCCCAAAAGGAAAACCACGCAAAAGGGGGCAATGTGAAAGTAACAAATGATATAGAGTTCCATACCTTCCCTGTCCATCCCCCAAGCCAACGGCTTTTGAATGGTTCTATGATCAGAGCATGTTCTACTTTCCCTCCTTCCACTGTAGACTAAAGTGTATAAGTGCAAATTAAGCCTTTTGTTACTTAGGCAATGGTTAAAGAATGCATGCATAGTCTTACCTCCATCTATTGAATCCTGGGTCCAAAAGGAAGACAATTTCTTGCATGGTCCAATGCTGAAAAGATTTAACCCTTCTTCTTTGAGATTGCTTTCCTGCAACACAAAATATGCCAATGATAGCACCCTGTCATGAAAATGATATCGAAACAAAGCCATTATAATATAAGATACTCAAGATGGATTAGAATAGGATTCAGATCTAACTACAAGAAACCCTGCGATACTTATCCAGCCACATGACATTGACAACTTGAGAATTTTCATTCAGAGGGAAAAGCACAAACTTCAAGGTTATGTCGAGCGACTAGACCAATGGAAAAAGCGGTCACGAATATTTCCCATCCATAGTTTTCTAATACTCAAGGCATAGGGTACACTTCTAAATTATTCCTGAGGTTTTAATTATCCAAAATTTGTGAAGTTTTCCTTATGTTTGATGAAATATAACAAAAGAAAAAGAAGAGAGCATGTGTGGAATCGACAACTCAAATCATAACTCAATCTAATCTCAGAGGTTGAAAGTTCCGAAATTCCACCAACCATTTATTCAACATGATTTCTCAGGGTGATGGCAGAAGCCTGGGACATTGCAAACAAAGCCAGTACCTTTACCTATATCTTCCCAGTGAAAGCAGAGGGTAGAAGAAGATATCCCACCATTTCTTCTGCATTCCTCCAAAGAATACATGCTAGGAAATTGAAATGCTCCATCTGCCTGTCTTCCAACTTATAACTAATGTTTAACAGTGATAAATTGCAACACAGGGTTTTCAATTTCATGACACTTGTTCTTCGCAGGGATGATGAAAGACTAGTGGGTTGTAGTTCCAATTAAAAAGATGCGCAAATAATGCTGAAGGATACAACAATATGACAAAAATAATTCAATATGCAAATGATGTCAAAAAGATATATAAGATGATGTAAAAATAATCTCTGCATTTTTATAGGAAGCCAATGCTTGCACATCCTCACCTTGGAAGTTATTCTAATTGTAGTAGCCATGACCGAGTCATCCATTGCTACTGATTGGAGTTCATTAGCACCACAAATGATTCCTCTGGAACCACAAGAATCATTGGGACAAAGTCCCATATGCTCTTCAGGTAAAGACTGTGAGAGAGAGTCATTTGATCGTATACGATCAACATGAGGACCAATCACACTCCCTTGTGAAGGAATGGTGGAAAACACATGTTCTCCCTTGGATTTGATATCAATGGAAGGTCTCTCATTTTCTCCATCGGATCTGCCAAGGCTTTTGGATAAGCATGTATTGGAAACATGAGTATCATTTTTGCATGCACTACAGGTGTTCTGCAGTTTTGAACTGCATTCTTTGACAAGAGACTGCTTAGAAGAATAAAAAAACTCATGGCATTGGCCAACATTTCTTTCTGGATGTAAGGGTGAAGTATTATTATCAAGAATTCCTGCATTACTGCATGGAATAACACCAGAATTCACAATTTGGACCGGGCAGAGGCCAACATCATCAAAAGCATCTGCCATGGAATTGTCATCCAAGTCAGAGAGATCATTATTCCCATTGAATTCCTCAATCGAAGCAGAAGAAACATCAAATTCGTCCACACAACACTGTTTTCTTGCCATTTTTACTTTAAGGGCAATTTTCAATATAACTGAAGATGAGTAAGATTCAGAACCAAAACTGCTCTTAACAAGGTCAGATATAGCCAGAGCCTCAGATGCTGCAACGCTAAGTTCAACCGCATCATCCATATCAGCACTTTTGAGGTACCTGGAATCTAGCGACACTGGATGGGTATCTTTAGAACTTTTGTCCAAATGAGCTAATGAGGATTGCTTGGCTTTCTTTGGTTTTACAGTTTGTGGCATGGATTCCTCAAAATTTCGTGAGGAACCTCTATTATTTGGATTGAATGGAATTTGAGGAATAGGTTGCAGGGACAAGATGTGGGAGCCCTTCAAAGTATCTAAACTGCTCCTGTCCTCAAGGGTCCTGAAAAATCAGATTACGCAACAAGCAGGGTGAATAAGCAGTAAATGTAAACTATATGCTGACAAAGCACATGGAGATGCATGTGGAGTGGAAGAGCAAAATTAGAAACTGATTTGACATGTACCGGTTTTCTAAAGATATATTTAGTTGGGGGACTTGACTCGAGGAGCGCTCTGCATAATAATCTGAGGAAAGATGTAGATGAAAAGGTGCCATCTGTTGATAAAAAGATAAACACTCTCTAAATAATACAAACTTTACACATAGTTACTTTTAAGAGCAAAAATGAAATACTAGGATAACTAGGCCCAAAATGCAGGTATCCTAATCAAAATTGCTGGTCTGAGTGTCTGATGTGTAACCAGATATTTCTGCATTGCTGTTCATTATAATTGGTTAGTACACATATGAACATAGTACACATACATATGCAATAGAACACAAACACGGGTTATAGCTGCGTGTAAAGTTTCTCACTTTGGTAAGTGAAGAATAATTTGCCCTTTACCAATATATGTAGAGACAAGCAATCTCACTTTGGTAAGTGAAGAATAATTTGCCCTTTACCAATATACGTAGAGACAAGCAATTAATATTTTCAATGTTTTCAATGTTATATATAGAGATACCAATATGCCCTAGGGAGACAATAACAGATATAGCTACCCGACTGCAAGACAATTCACTTACATTTCAAATATCATCTTCATAGATCTACTTTTGATCCACACTAGAATATTCCCTTTTGACAGATCATTAATGAAAATCCCGAGGAATTGCAAGCAAATTATTGTAGCTACAAGGTTAATTCAAGCCAATAGATTGAATATCTATTTCAGTCAAGGTGTGCTCATCAGCATACCTTGAAAAGTAAAAACAAACATATTATGAAGCAGGCATCAAAACCATCACTTGTAAATATATGAATCCAGAGAAAAGTAAGAACAAATTCTGTGGGAGAATGCACGAACTTGGAGAGCACAAAATCCAGTAAGAACTTACATTCTGCATTGACGGGCTCCTTTCCAATGATAAATTGGTTTCTCCTGACAAAAATAGACAACCATTAAACCCAACTTCTCCCCTCAAGAATGAGCAGGTATTTTGTCCATCACTTCGTTGGATATGTTTCAGATCCTAAAATACAAGAACAATAAAAATAATTATATCCAGAAGAAAGTACTGTAAAATAAGATAAGTAAGACACCAACTACAGTAAATTGGAGTTCCTCCCAACACTTTTGGATAATGGGAGGTAGTTCCAACTTAATTCTACACTCCCAAAATAATCAGCGATATTCATTCAGCAAACCAGAAAACTGCTAATGAGCAGAGCTTGTATAAATGCTTTTGATCATGTTATGATAAATTTATAAAAAATAAATAAATAAGTAAATAAATAAACTCCAACCATATTGATTGAAAATCATATAACTCAATGCACAAATATGTCATACCCTGTGAGCCACTTGAGAGAAGGTTTGGGTGTCATTAACCTGCTCAAAGTGCAATGATAACTTATGTGGGTTTAGCCATGGTGGAAGCCAAGCAACATCCTGCCATAGTTTACTAAAATTATAAGAAGAACAGTAAACAAATCAATTCCTATGGGCCCTAATTTCTTATCAGGAAGAAAAGATATAGAAGAATGATATTAACCGCTTCGATCAAATCACACTTCAAATAATTTGACCATACCAAAACTTTCATTTGCAAACACCTCCACATGCATCAACATATGAATTTAAGCACTTGTGGCATGAGAAGCTTTGTACTTCTGCTGAGAAGTCAAATTCCAATAATCTACAGAGACTTTTATATATTATATTATGGGATTGTATTCTATGAAACCATTTATCTTTAGTACAAGGAGGCCTCAAAATTACTCCTAGCCACTAGATGTCATATTGGATAGCTTTAGATGTTTCACAAAGTTAGAGAAATTTTCTTTTGAACTTTGAGTCTAGCCAATGACACTATTAGGCCACCCGGTTTGAAATATGGAGGACAAGAGCAATCGTGACCTCTATGTACCAAAAGTAAATGGACTCTTTCTATACTTTTCCATTGCATTAACATAAACGACATGATTGTATAACATTGAGAAATGGGAATACACTGCAATTGAGATTGCAGAGTCCATTGATCTCTCTCTCTCCAATAGTCATGTATTCCATTCTCTACTGTGATAATCAAAATAAACATGTTTATTGCTCGCAAAATGGGGATACAAAACCTATATTCAGAGAGCTTTAGGCAAAAAAATGGAGCTCACAGGTCCTATCACCCGCTCTTTATTTCTCTCACGAAATGGAGAGAATCGCAATGAGAAATGTAAACTAGGGTTCTTGGGATCCAAGAAAAGAGACGGGAACAGACCTCAGGGGATTGGAAACCAGAAGCACCATTGAAGAGTTAGGGTTTTAAGGGAACCTGACCTCTGAAAATTGGGGTTGATGGAAACCAGAGCCCTCCATTAACGAAAGCTTCGCTCGCTCTACAAATCCTACACTTTAGAGGAAATGTTAGAAAATGGCGGGAGCACTTTTATAGTTCTAAATGAAAATCGCGGGAACTATCATGAATTTAAAAAAGAAAAAATTACTACCTAGGTAACTTACTATATAGGTAACTTATCTCCAAGCTAATCTTTTTTCTTACTTTTTTTTCCCACAACCCCCTTTCCTCGTAAAGACCCCCCAAAGTAAAAAGTTGTCATTTTTTTACAAAAATATCTTTATTGTACAAACAAAAGTTAATTGGCGGTCCCAAATAGTATATTGCCCGAGCGACCAATTCAACCACAAAAATATCTTTCTTGTACAAACAAAAGTTAATTGGCGGTCCCAAATAGTGTATTGCCCGAGCGACCAATTCAACCGTCGGAATGATGTGGCTCTAGAAGGTGTATTGCCGCAGCACGTCTTTGTATTGGCAGAGCCTTTGTATTCATTGCCGGAGCGACCTATTCAATCGTCGGAGCGCTGTGGCTCTAGAAGGTGTACTGTCGGAGTCTGTCCTTGCATTGCTAGAGAGCGTATCTTTATTGTCGGAGCGATCCTCTGCATTGATGGAGCGCGTGTCTTCATTGCCGGAACGACCCTCTGTATTGCTGGAGCACGTGTCTTCATTGCCCACGACCCTCTGCATTGCTAGAGCATGTGTCTTCATTGCCAGAAAGCGAGTCTCCCCATTGCTAGAACGCATGGGTAAAAAGTACAGGGGGAGAGTCATGGGTAAAAGCCACAAGGAGAGAGAGAGGGTAGTTTTTGGGGTATTTGCAAGAAAAGCCACAAGGAGAGAGAGGGGGTAGTTTTTGGGGTATTTGCAAAGAAAGGTGGTTGTGGGAAAAAAAATGAAAAGAAAAGTTAGCTGGGGGTAAGTTTCATAGACAGTATACTTGAGGGGGCTTTTATAATTTTCTCTTTATAGAATGTATAGCACTTCCTCCATATTATTTCAATCCAGCATATTTTTAAGAATATCACTTCGCTCAGCACACCATACAAAACGCCCCAATATTCTAGATGAACAATTGTTTCATGTGTGCTGGACCCATTTATACAATATGCGGTCTAGAGGTATAAAGCATCTATCTTAAATTTAAAAACAATTGTAACTAATAGTTCAAATATTTTTTTAATATAATTATTATTTTAGTTTTCAAAATTTATTTACTTTTTCATATTCAGAATCTACATGTTAAAGATTACATATTTTTTAAAAAATAGGACCAATTATATTTAAAATATATATTTATTGCCAAGCCTGCAGTTTGTACATGCCACATGCTAACTGCGTCCATTCTAGATTACCAAAATCCTTTTTGGGTGCCCCTTAATGCATGTTTTTGGATTAAAGACCAAAATGCCTGGGACAGATTGCTTTCTTGAAGCAATAGATTTACCTATCATTGATGGTCAGGTGCGGGTGTGGGTCGGCTCCAAATTCAACATTTCTAAACTTGAGGGAGTCGTATCCAGTTTAGCCTAAACTATCATGATCGAGTCTAGGTCACCCAACCCAGGTGTTTGTGGTGGGTGTAGGGCTAAGAATTTATCCAGTATGGATCTAAAGCCCGAAATAAGAATATTATCCATATCTAAGTATGAATCCAAGTTTTGAATCCAAAATCTCGAATAGTAATTCGGGTCAGATCCGGGTAGAGGTGGATTCGATCAAGATCCAATCTGGTTTATATAGAGCTGAGGCTCTAAACAATAAAATAAAAGTCCACCTCAAAAATTTCACTAGAATATGTGGTTTTGATGCCTAAATATCCTCAATTTGAAGCTCTCAACATTAAGATGTGTGGATATGGAAACAAATTGGATTTCAAATTTTGTAAATAGTGCATCTTGGAAAGTATTTGTTGACCGTCAATTTTCAAGATTTTCAAGTTTTCATAGATCTGCTCGATCTATAATATTTTTTAAGCTTTAAATTTTATAATTAAAGATGAAAATATTTTTAAGGCTACCACAAAAATTTCTATTATTGAAACCATATTTCTCAATACTATTTGAAAGTGTAGAGATAGTTGATGATAATTTTAATTTATCTTATATTTGATGTAGATATCTTGATAAGACTAAATGAGTTGGTCACTATCACTAACTGATTAAACGTATATTTATACGAGACTTTGCATATTATTGAGATATCATATATATATATATATATATATATAAAAGATTCAGAATTTTAACATGATATCATAGCACAATTCCCTTAGAGGGCCCGGCACAATTCCCTTTGAGGGTCCCAAATGATGAATCGAATATCAGAGAGACACCTGTCTCCAAACCAGGTATTTTGCTCTTTTCTTTTTGCTGGAGAAACCTGCGATTTTTTTTACGCGGATAAACTTCTCTCTCTAGAACACTCTGTAAAACTCGCTCTTTTCTCATTTGTAGGATGTATTTCTTTCGGTTTTTTTTCCATTCAAAAATTGTATGTTAGAGAGAATATATGTACTTTCGTTCAGATCGGTTAAGACTTAAGAGAGAAGAAGAATCACAATAGGAGAAAGAGAGAGGAGCAAAATTCCCGATGCACAGAGAGGAGTATATTTTGAGGAAGAGCGGCTGCATAACAAGAAGGACAAGAGTGTCGAGAAAGGCAACAAAAACCTAGAAAAGATCATAGACGGATTGAAATTAGGCTGCTACTGAAAAACAGAGAACGCTAGGGAAAGCGGTGGTCCATAGAGACCATATCCAATATCCAAATTCTTGATCATGTTTGTAAGTTTTGATACAAATTGCACATGGTTTTTGAAAAATGAGATGTATTGGCTATAAAACTTGATGGGAAAAACTATCTCGATTAGCGGTTCCATTTTCAATTTTTTGTTGAAAGAAAAGGTTTGTGGAGGCATGTTGATGGCACTGAACCTAAACCGGCTACACTCATTACTAAAGATATCTAATAATGGAAGATCAAGAATGCAAAAATTATCTCATGAATCTTTGGCTCTGTAAATCTTGATATTGGAAGGCCAATGAGAGGCTTCCATACCATAAAAGAAATGTTGACTATTTGGAAAAAGTTTATCAGCAATCAAATCTTGTAAGACGCTTCTAAATCGAGTATGATATGTTTTCTCATAGCTAAAGGGAAAAAACCCTTTAAAAATATTATGCTGATTTCATGAACTTGTGGATAAAATATGAATATGTAAACTTGAAGGCTATCACTAGTGCTTGTTGCATTAAGAGCTTAACGGAGATCAATGGTGATAAGAAGGGGATGCAGCTTTTGATGAAGTTATGCCCAAACTATGAAATCGTTCGAACCAATATTTTGAATCACAAAACATTAGCCAATATGGATGTCATTCTCGGTGAATTACTTTGTGAGGAGACAAGATTTGTGACATAAGCCACAATTCCATTGAGGGAAAGAAGAATATAGAGTTTGTACTTTTAGCTCAACGGGTTGGAGGAACACCATCACAAAAAGACCTATATTTGTTGCAATGTTATGAGTGTAAAGAATATGGTCATACAACATCCCATTCATACAACATCCCATTGTAAGAATAAAAGATTTTGTACTTATTGTAAACGTGCTAGGCATATTATCACAGAATGTCAAGATCATTCTCGATGAGGCAATCGGCCATTCAATACACAAAAACCTTTTTACAAGGTATAGTGGGCATACCAAGCTGCTAATGATGCTTCCAAGGGACTCCATCGAACGCTATTCATGACTTAAATACAACAATGTCTCAGACATCAAATGATATTCGACAGTTGGTACAAAATTATATATTTATGACTATCTCTTCTGCTTTCTCTACTATGTGCTTGTCTGGTATGAACTCTCATCTATCCCCTAATGTCAATCCCCTTTGGTTTATTAACTCGGGTGTCTCTAATCATATGATTGGAGTGCACGCAAGTCCAACATCTACTAAACCATACTAAGGTAATAGTCAGATTCTCACCACTAATGGGGAGAAACTGAATATTACTGGTATTGATGATCTCTACACAAATTATATCTAAACTTTCTATAGAAGCCGAATATTGAGCAATGTCCTCAGCTTGCAGTGAGATTACTTGGTTGAGAAGTTTTTACAGGACCTTAATATTCTTCATCGAACTCCTACACCATTATATGTTGATAATATGAGCGTCATACGTATTGTATCAAATCCAGTGTTTCATGACCGCACAAAGCATATAAAAGTTGATTGTCATTTCATTTGTGAAAAATTTATGGCTGGAGAAGTTACGCTCCCACATATTAGCTCTCAACAACAACTTGCAGATACCTTTACCAAGGAAATAATTCGTGCTCGTCATGACTATCTCATTTACCAAGGCAATGATTTGTGCTCGTCATGACTATCTCATTGACAAACTGATGATATTCACCCAACCTCAGTTTGAGGGGGAGTGTAGAGACAATTGAGGATAGTTTTTAAGTTTAATTTTAATTTATCTTGTATTTGATGTAGATATTTCTCTTGATAAGACTATATTAGTTAGTCATTATTGATAACTGATTAGCTGTATATTTATACGGGACTTTGTATATTCTTGAGTTATGATCTATATACAGAGATTTCTCTGGAAGATTCAGAATATTAACAGAAAGTGTGTTTTACTTTAATTGTTTAGAGCCTCGACACTATACAAACCATATATATATATATATATATATGAGAAAAGTTTATATAGAGCCGAGGCTCTAAATACTCAAGTTTGAGCCTACCTCAAAAATTTCACCAAAAGAGGTCTGTTTGATACTCAAATATCTTCAAATTGATCATCTCGACATCAAGAAGCATGGACATAAGAAAAAAATGAATTTAAAGTTTTGAAAATAGTGTATTTTGTAACACATTTTTGGACCGTCATTGTTCAAGATTTTCAAGTTTTCATAGATCTATCAATTTACACTATTTATGAAGCTTTAAAATTTATAAATAAATATGAAAATATATTTTAAGGCTATCACAAAGATTTCCAATATTAAAACCACATTTATCGACACTATTTGATATAGGCTCTAATTTGATTGTTTAGAACCTAGGCTCTATACAAACCACACCCCCTATATATATATATATATATATATATATATATATATATATAATAAGTAGTATATATATAGTAGTTATACTAGTATATACCTACATACTTATTATATATACATATTAATCTGTATATAGTATTACTATTATTAATT